GTGCCCCGCCCCCTTTGCTCGTGTTAGACCCTGTCGACGTGCCCCGCCCCCTTTGCTCGTGTTAGACCCTGTCGACGTGCCCCTCCTCCTTTGCTCCATTATTGTCTGCTTAAACGTGATGGATAGAAATGAAGGTGCAGTGTCATTCACAGCGTGGACTGGTCTCTGCGTTCTGGACATGCAGACCAACCAGGAGACCATCATGAAGATCAGCTCGGCCGGAGCGTGTGAGTAGCTGGTGATGGGTTCAGCAGTGAGGGGGATATCTGGGAAGAGCTGCCTGAGAAGGCAGTGTGAATTTTCTCATCAAGTGGGGTGTGATCTGATTGGATGGTACATATCTATGGGGGCAGTGTTTCTGCTCTGATTGAATGGTAATTGTCTGTCTTAGGGGTTGTGTGAAAGTGAGGCCACACTTTATCTTTGTGCAGTCGCTGGAGATGCGTGTTGTAGCCTGGCAGCTATCCGGCTTAGACTCTCGGCCATGCAAGCACTGACATGCCCCCCCTCCCCCCTGTTTTATTGTAGTTCCTCTGGCCGCTGCCGCCTCTTTTCTCCAGGCATGTTTGCCCCCAGCGTTTCTCTCTGTGCTGCTAACTGGCCTATGCTTGTGGATCTGACTCCATTTCTGTTTGTCTCTCTGTCTGTCCCTGTCCCCATTCCGTCTCCCTGCCCGTCTCCAACCCTGTTCCTTTCCCATACCTGTCCCCGTCCCCTTCCCTGCCTATATCTCCATCCCTGTCTCTCTCACTGTCCTCATCCCTGTTCCCTTTTCTGTCCCCACCGCCTTCCCATCCCTCTCTCTGTCCCCATCTTTGTCCCTGTCTCCCCTTCTGTCCCCAACTCTCTGTCCCCATCCCTGTCCCTGTCTCCCTCTCTATCCTGTTCCCCGCCTCTATCCCCATTCTTGTTCCCTTCTCTATCCCTGTCCCTGTCCCTGCTCCCTTCCCATCTCTGTCCTTGTCCCATCCTTGCAGTGATGCAGTGCTCCGCAGTGCTGGACATCCTCTTCTTAATGGACGGCTCTCACAGTGTGGGAAAGGGCAGCTTTGAGCGGTCCAAACACTTTGCTCTCACTGCGTGTGCAGGCCTGGACGTGGGCCCAGATAAGGTGAGGCACAGCGTGTGTGTGTGTGTGTGTGTGTGTGTGAGACCCTTGGATGTTAAAGAAGCCCCCTTTGCAGGTGAGAGTGGGGGTTGTGCAGTACAGCTCAGCCCCCCGGCTGGAGGTGTCACTGGACAGCCACCATACCAGGGAGGGCGTGGTCAAGCACCTGAAGAAGATTCCATACAGGTACTACGTGTGTGTCTGTGTGTGTGTCTATATATCTGTATGTGGGTGTGGGTGTGTGTGTGTGTGTGTGTGCGTGCGCACGTCTGTGTGTCTATATATCTGTATGTCTGTGTGGGTGTGTTTATGTGTGTGACAGTATATATGTGGGTCTGTGCATGTGTGTTTCTGTATGTGTGTGTGTGTGTGTGTGTGTGTGCGGCTGCACTCGGTGGCGTGTCGACAGTCCTCATCATACCAAGGGCCCCGCAGCTGTGGGGCTCTTCTGTTTTCCGGACATTCCTGTTCATTACAAACCCAGCGTGAAATCAGTGGTCTAATCCGTGCAAGTGACTCAGGACTTGTGAAGGAGTGATGGTTTAAAGTTAGTGAACCAGGAGAATGTTGGGGGTGGGGGTCACTGAGGGGGCTTTAACCCTAACCCTGTGCCCTCCCCCAGGGGAGGCAGCACCCGGACGGGCCTGGCACTGAAGTACATCCTACGGAAGGGCTTCCCTGGGGGACGCAATGGCACTGCCCCTCGCGTGCTGGTCCTGCTGTCCGACGGCAGGTCCCAGGGTGACCCAGAGACGTCAGCCGCCGAGCTGAAGCAGGCTGGAGTCACCATATTCGCTGTGGGGGTGCGCTATCCCAGGTGGGCGTATGTGCATGCATGTGTGTCCCCACTCATACTGTGACACCTAAAGAGCTTCGGTCAGGTGCCTGTCTTCTCATTGGCTGGAGTAGGTGAAACAGAATAGCCAATCAGGTGGAATACTCGAGTGACGACCTTTAGACCTCACCGACCCCTGTCTGCTGGCTTTGGATGGTGCTGGCTGTCATGTGTCTGAATGAAGAGCTTCCTTTGGCTGGCAGTCAGAGCCGCACCACCTTACTGCCCCGCTTCCCCGGGGGCAGCATAAGCATTAGATATGCAGCCTCACTGCTCAGCCACACAGCTTTCACAACTGCTTCTGTGGAGGATGCCTTTGGCCTGGTGGAGCAGCTGAGGAGCATGACTCCTCCTTCGGAGACTGGAGTGTTTGGAACGCCTGTCATGTGGAATCGGCCCTCAATGTGTGGAGCTGTAGCGCCCTCTACCTGACACCATCTGAATTTCATTTGAACTTTATTTGAACTTCCTTTGAAATTTTCTGAGGATGAGAACTTGAAAAAATGTAAAAATTTGTTTGCCTGTTGATGTGTTTATGGTGATTCTGGTGTGTCATTCCTTATGGGTCAGTAAGAAGCTACACAGTCAGCATGTCATGTGTGGTGTTAAAGCCGGCCTTTCCCCGTGTGGTGGTGTACTGACGCCCTTTTTCAGGCGGGGTGTTAAAGCCGGCCTTTCCCCGTGTGATGGTGTACTGACGCCCTTTTCCAGGCGGGGTGTTAAAGCCGGCCTTTCCCCATGTGATGGTGTTTGAACGCCCTGCTTTCTCCAGATGGGAGGAGCTTGACGCCCTGGCCAGCACGCCCACTGAGCAGCATGTCCTGTTTGCTGAGCATTTCTATGATGGAGTCAATGGCTTCTTCAGCGCTCTGTCTGCTGCCAACATCTGTTCTGCCGTGCCGCCAGGTAAAGGGTCAAAGATCATCGCACCCAAACCACATGGACAGGGGGAAAATTTACATCTATTACACGTTCCACTTGTAACATCTGGTGTCATACGACACTCACAGGAGCACCCAAATTAACCCTTTGCCCTGTGCTTCTCAGGGTGCTTGGTTCAGACCTACCCCTGTGTGCTTAAAACCCTGGACACAGTCAAAGAGCTACAGGGGAGTTTCACATGCTGGAAGGGGTCTAAGGGCTTCGCAGTCTCCACTGCTGTTTGCCCTTACTACAGGTAAGTGTGCACATAGCTTCCTCCCTCATATTTACTACAGGTAAGTGTGCACTTAGCCTCCTCCCTCATATTTACTACAGGTAAGTGCGCACTTAGCCTCCTCCCTCATATTTACTACCAGGAGACTTGTGCATATCTATTGTAACAGGTGTCACCTAGCTAAGTGTTTGCATGATTCACAATAAAAAGTACTGCAGAGGGGCCTGAGTGCATGTAAATGCATGTAGTATGTTAACAGTGATACAGTGACACAGGGAATACAGCCAGTCTGTGTGTCACCATTCCGGGGTGCCGCCAGGTCACTGCAGACCAGCTGGCACCTCTGTGTGCCGCCACTAGCTTGTCTTTCTCTGTCAGGTGGAGCAGAGTTTACAGGAAACGCCAGATGTCTTGCCATAGAGCTGTGTGCCCAGGTCAGCCTCCCACATCTCTGTGTCTCTGTGTGCTGTATTTGAAGGACTGTGATTAACAAGCCCCCCCTCTCCCCGCCCAGACCCCTGTGACTCCGCCCCCTGCCAGAACGGGGGCACCTGTGTGTCTGAGGGGCCCCAGCAGTACCGCTGTAATTGCCCCCCAGGCTTTGGGGGTGACCCCACTTGTGGTGAGATCTCCTGGGGAGGGTTACTGGGGAGGGTTACTGTCAAACACCCTGTAGCTGAATCTGTCCCCGTGGACTGACTGCATCACCCTATTAAGGATTAAGGTTCCAGGAGGTGTGTGGCTCTGTAGGTTAGGACTGGCTATGATTGGAAGGTTGCTGGTTTGAATCCCATGGCAGTCACAGCAATCATATTAGTGTTGGGTCCTTACCATTGAAAGTGCCCTGCAGATACATGACTGACCATGTACTATGACCCTGGGGATCAGTGTGGCTGCTCTCCTGCATACCCAGAGGCCAAAAGATGGCATTGTAACCTCGTGCTCATATTTCTCCCCCTACCAGCATGTCTAAATGCCTGCCCCCACCTGTCCCCTGCCCCCAGCCCCAAGGTTCGTCCTCGACTGCAACGTGGACCTGCTCTTCCTGGTGGAGAACAGCGCCCCTCTGAGCCTGGAGGGCTTCCTGCGCTTCCAGTCCTTCCTGAAGCGCTTCATCCAGGCTGTGCTGGGGTCCGACTCGCCCGTCAATGTGGGCCTGGCGCAGTACAGCGACCGGGTGATGATGGTGGTGCCAGTGGGGAAGCCCAACATGGGTGAGCTCCTGCGGGCGGTGGAGCGGCTGCAGCCTGGCACCGGTCAGGCCCGCACAGGGGCGGCCCTCCGCCACGCAGCCCAGCACGGCTTCCCCAGCACACCGGTGTTTGCCGACGTGCGTGACGACTTGCCCCGTGTAGTGGTGCTGCTCACCGGCTCCCCATCCTCTGACCCGGTGGAGGAGCCTGCCCGCTACGTCCGTGACCAAGAGGTCTTCCTCATCACCGTGGGCCCAGACACGCTGAGGGCACAGCTCAACAACATCACGGCGAACGCCCACCGCGTCATCACCTACAGCTCCCCTGGTGGCCTGGAGGCCAAAGTGCCTGAGTTGCAGGCCAAGATCTGCAGTGTGGACAGCCAAGGTGGGGCATCTCAGGGTCAGGGGTTTGAGTCCTAGGGTTTTATCCGTGAGTTGCTTTATGGTTTACAAAGATCTGTGGTGTTCTTTATGTCAGTGATCCTTCTGCTTATTTTGATCAGGGTAGCGGGGGTGGGGGGGTGTATCGCAGGCAGCACACTTCCACTGTGGGAGGACACTGGACACAGCACTGGAGAACACACAAACCCTACACACAGCGTGGTGGTGGGATTGGAACCCATAACCCGGAGGTGTGAAATCAGAGGGGAATCCAGGCAGCCTTTAGTGACCCTTGAATTATAAGTAAAGCTTGGCTTCAATGAACTAGTTAACCAGTTGTGGTAATCCCAGTGCTCTGTCGCCCACTTCAGGGCTGGTGGGTCCAGGGTTTTAACTCCATGTCTTCTCCCCAGGATGCCCGGAACAGGCCTTGGACCTAATCCTGGTTTTGGATGCTTCTGAGGCTGTGGGCCGAGAGAACTTTGTGCACCTCCAGGAGTTTGTGCGCAGTGTCTCTGTGCAGTTCGATGTGAACCGCGACGTGGTCCAGATCGCGCTGGTGACATTCGGGCGCCGATCGGTCACTGCCTTCCAGCTGGACAGCCACGCATCGGGCTCGGCTGTGCTGCGGGCCGTAGGCAAAGCTGCCTACCAGGGCGGCCCGGCATCCACAGGTAGCGCCCTGCTGCACGTCCGTGCCGAGCTGCTGAGTGTAGCCCGGGGGGCGCGGCCCGGCGTGCCCAAGGCCGTGGTGCTGCTGACGGACGGCGCAGCCGAAGATGCCGGTGTGCCCGCGCAGAAGATCCGCGACGACGGCGTGTCCGTGTTCGTCGTCGGCATCGGGGACATGCAGAGCGACGGTTTACTGCGCATCGCTGCCTCCCAGGATCACGTGATCTCCGTGCCGTTCTACGAAGACCTCAAGTACTACGATGAAGTGTTGGTGCACATGCTGTGTGCAGGTCTGTGTGTGTCTGCGTGTGTCTGCATGTGTGCTCATGTGTGCGCATGTACAGTACTGTGCAAAAGTCTTGCAGCCAAAGAATATTATGTTTTAAGGGATCATTGTACTGGTGTAGAACTATGATGATGACAATATACTCGTATAGTTTTTGACTCGATTACGAGCATGTTGTACATCTCATTGACTTTTTGAACTAATTAAGTTAATTAATTGAGTTGGTGGTGAAATTGAATAAATCCATGGAATGGCTGAGGTGCCCCTGAGGAGAAGTTTGGGAACTGAAGCCGTGTTCATCTAGCCACCCAACAAGATGTCAGTGACTTTTTGGACAACAGAAGAAACTCTTCCTAGTTTGGAATGTTTCTCCTAACTTGCATATGTTCTAATGTTAAATTGTGGTTTTTGTTCTGAGTAAATGTGGACCCAGTTAAACAACTTCAAACATTTGACTGACTTAAACTTTTGCACAGTACTTTAAGTGTACATATGTGTGTATATAGTAGAGTCCAAAAGTCTGAGACCATATCGGAAAACTGTGATTTGTATAAGAACATAAGAACTATACAAACGAGAGGAGGCCATTCGGCCCATCGAGCTCGCTTGGGGAGAACTTAACTA